TTGGCTTGTTTTACAACGTCGTTGCCAAGCGACGAAAACCCAACCCCGATGGTAAAACACCGGGGGGGGCGTGTCAAGGGGGGGGTAATATTTTGGACAATCACCAGAAAACGGTATACGGACGGGTTTGGGTAAAACATAACGATACACAAGGACTTACTTGACTCAAGAATTGACCGCGAGGCCCCACGATGATTGGCCAATACCACCGAGTACCGTTTTGTGGCGGCTCAAGGGGAGAACACCGCGACCGGGTTTCTCGAATCGGCCTTCGCGGTTTCCTGTGGTTCTGCGGTGTGTTATGTATGCGGTTCTGCGTTGGCAGGGCGAGATGGTCGGAATACCGACAACGTTGACGAGGTCAGTTGACCTCGGTGTTGTCGCAGTGTTGTTGACGTTGGATCTTGGCCATGTCTAAGTTGTATCTGGCCTTGTGTGATGCTGCTGTAGTAGTGTTTTTTCCCTGCACTCGCAAGTTGTTGGATTTACCCTTGATTGAGATGACATAGGGCAATGTACCCTTTGTTGCGGCAAGAAACGGACGGGAGCGAAGAAAGCAATAAAAGATGATTCGAGAAGCCCGGTCGCGATACTCTCCACTTGAGCGACCAGAAAACGGTGCTCGTTGGTCTTCGCTAATCACCGTGGGTCTCGGGGTCAATTCCTGAGTTTATTCCTCGTGCAACGTTTCGTGTCACCCAACCCCCCCGTTATACCGTTTTCTGTAGCTTACCCAACTTTTCTGAATCTCATCTCCTCGAACGCGTACAATGTGTGGCAGGTGAAAGAGCTAAGGCAAGGGGCAGGGGCTATCGCCAGCAGAGAGGGGGCACCGAAGAAGTGGGTAGAGGATAATATCGAGAAGTTGGTTGAGGCGTGAGCTTATGTCCATGTGGTAGTTGATCTAACTGAGATTGTATCAGCGCGCGCGATCGCGTACACGGTCGAAACAAGGTAGCAGTTATCAACACGGATCAATAATACCGTCGTGCTGGAAGCAGTGGATGAGCCATAAGGGCGTGTCGGTTGTGAAATTTTGGAAATGGATGGGGTGCATGTGCCTTGTGCTAATCCTTAAGGGGGTCAAGAGTGTTTTGGTAGCAGTATCGTGAATGGGTGGGTTTTGTATTAAACTGCGCGTTGGATGCTCAGTTAGTTGCGTTTTACTTTGTTTCGAGAGGGTCAAGACCGACTGCGTGATGCTCGAGCTCGTGAAATCGAGTAGGTTCGAGTTGCCGACTTGGTGTGGGGACAAGCTTCAAAGGGTCAACGACTACCTCTTTTCAGACCACACCTCGGGATGTAAACATTCCAAACAAACGCAGGCAACAAAGAACAGAGGGAATCATCCTCGGCAGACGCTGGGGAGACAGTACCCTTTATGAAGGTGATCTCCGCACAACCACGCAACAAGCCAAGCCTCCAATGGCGTTGGCCCTACTTCTTCTTGCCCTTCCCCTTCTTTGGCTCGTCTTCCGGCACGGGGATGGGCTCCGGTTGAGGCTGAAAGTACGTCAGAGGCGGCCCGGACACCGGTTGCCAATCGTTCCCGTTCAGCGACACGAAAACACTCAGGGCTATGTTTGTCTCCTCAGGCGATGCTGGTGCCTCGCCACCCTGGTCGTCTGCTGCAGCTCCGGCACCCTTGGGCGAGGTAGGGGCGAGCGGTGCCTTGCTGCTCACGCTCTGGTCGGCTTGAGCTCTTGTCGCTACCGCTCCCGCCGCATCTTGGCCTTGGCCATCGGTGCTGCCGCAGCTCGCCAACTCGCATTGGGTCTGTTCCAGTTGGTTGTAATCCCATTGTCAAATCGTTCGAGATGACAATGTTACATTCGAAGATAAACCCTTAAAGGTGTGTGTAGGTTGCGTGTGAGCCTTTGTTCTCGATGTCTCAGGGCTAACCTTTTGCTATAGGATTGAATGGAACTTAGGCCCGTACGGTACAGCAGTGGACCGCGTCGACGCACGCGGGGTTCAAAGGCTGAGGAATGTAGTGGTATCAAGGAGCTACATTTGTGACCCTGGCTGTCAGGCAGGATTGTACCACCGATTTCACACGCTTCTCAGTGCAAAACACGGGTTCATGTTCCTTCAGAATCTCGCTCAACAGCGTTCCGCACCATCAAAAGGCCAAGCGGCGGAAAGATATGTTCTTAGGACCGAGGATGGCTCTCGTGCTCAAGAACTAGAGCTTCCTGCGCACGCTTTGGCCCCCGCTCCGTGCTAAATTCAGAATCACATCATCGAGCACCCCCCCCCCCCC